TTTTTTTTTTTTTTTTGCTGAACAATTTTAAAGTGAATTAGAAACATGGTAACATTTCATTTCTAAATTCTTTAGTTTGCACCTCCAGAAACTACACTTCTTATATAATCATTGTTATACCTAACAAGTTAATTTGTGGATTTATTTAATTGGGATAAAACAAATGTTCTATTGAACTTATAAAAATAGAAATAATGTGGATTTTTTTTAGTGTATAAAATATTAGGAAAGTAGTGAAAAATTAATAGTTACATTTTTAAATGTTAAAATTCCTAATAGAGATTAGTCTTAGAATATTATTTTGTAACCAGTTAATTTAATATAAAAAATATTTTGTGTTATATAATAATTTGAGGTCATCATATAAAAATTGTTACTACCCAGACATTTATCACCATGGTGACCTTTGGTATATATTCTTCCAGAATATATATCAGTCATGTATATGAATATCAAGCTTTATCATGTACATATGTACACACATACAAACATGTAAGCCATGTATTTAAAAAAATGAAATTGTACATATATACTGTTTTCCAATTTTCTCTTTATCACAGAATTATTTCTATGCCATTAAATACAAATCTGTATTATTTTGAAGGATGAATAGAATTCCACTATATAAATATTCTATAATGTATTGACCTAACTCTCACTGTTAAGCACTTAGGTTGTTTTTCATTTTCCCCCTTTATTAATTGCTATGAAATGCCTTGTGCATATATGTTTGGGAGCATTTCCAGATAAATTCCTATAGTAGAATTTCTGATTAAAAAGTTGCTAAGCTGTTTTTTTCATGTGCTTAGTATAAAGAGAACCCCCATCACATTACTTACATATTCCATAACTTCCAATGACTTCGGTAAATGAAACAATCTTTTATTTCATGTCAAATGGGATGGAATGAAGAAAAGGTTTTTCCCTAACATTCACAGATACATGGACTCTTAGAAAATAATTTTAATGTTCTTTCCTCAGCCTAAGAGAATAAAGCTGGCTTACTCTTAAACTTAAAAATGGTAATCCTAAGCTTGAAATGAAATTTCTATGAAAGTTGTCTTCATTCCTCACCACTTCTTTTTCAGCTTTGCTGAAAGATGACATCACTCAAGCCATCACCTGTGCAAAGAGGATTGTCAGTGAACAAGGCATTAAAGCCTGGTATGTTGAAGCATTAAAAGGGAAAACTATTTTACCTTACTGTTATGAGAGAAGTAAGAGATTTCAAAGACCAAAACATGCTACTGAGAGCTGAGAATTGCAGCTTAAGGCTTATGCCAAACAATATATTACCTAGAAACAATCTACTTTAACTGATTTAGAATCTTGACTCTTGAACTCCTTGATTTATTTTATGGGACTCCTAGAGTTTTTAAGATTCTGAGCGCTCTACCAGTTCCGGGTCATGTCTTGAAATTATTTTTGGAATTATGTAAATGGGGAAGGCACTTTGCAGTTGCTGTTGTAGGATACACATAACTCAACATTTATGTTCAGAATTCCATGACTGAGGACTTTGGGGAGATGTGAAGTACTTGGTTTACATATTTCCATTTAATAACTAGCAGTGCCTGAATCCATTTTTTAGCCTGTATTTCATTTAGTGATAAAATATTTTGTTCTTCCAAAGGTTTTGAAGTATGTACATTTAATGAAGATAGGGTTTAACCTATCATTGTTTGACTTTTCTTTACAGGGTGGCGTGGAGAAGTCATTGTCGAAACCGAGATGTCTCCAAGTATGTCCGGAACTGTCGCGTTTAACTATGCAGTTCTATTCCCTCAGCGTATTTTGTCTCTTTTTCCACATTAAACGAGGAGTAGTTGAGTGGAAAGTTCATGCTACCATTCTTTCAAACAAACGTTTTAGTCTTTCGAACAGGAACAAAATATGGTCTTTCTTTTACGAGGCTTACTATTTACTAATGTGTTTATTATTTGAAATTAAGCCCACATTTTTCAATTTGCTGAAAGAAATAATGCTGGTGAAAATTTATCCAAAATTTCAGCTCTCAAATACATCTCTAGTGTACATTCAGTTATTGATCAAACAAATAACCCAGGCTTAATCTTGCATGCTACAAGTACTCCCTAGTAAAGAAAAATGTAACAAAAGATTATCTTAAAACAAGTTGATCTTAGGCAAAATGCCAGCTGTATACACGTGACATCTTCAAGTATTCCGTCATCTCCAAACATGGTAAAAAAAAGCAAGAAAGCAAAAAACACTCTTTGTTGGGGAATATAACATTTTTAAAGGAGCTTTGTGGCAAATGGCTAAAAACAGAGGCAGCCTGAATTAAGAATTTTGCTTCTATAAAGTGGGACCTTTGGTTTAAATATATCCTGAGAAATGTTGCTTTAGAAAGAAATTCACGTTTTACACATCAATCTATTTTAGCCCTTTAAGGCATTCTTTTATGCATCTTGCTGATCATGAAGGAATATAAAGGATTAGATGAGCTGTTGCTGTTCTTTAATTTTACTGACTTAGATTCGTGCATTATGACTAAATCCTGAGGCAGATGGGTTTGCAAGTATTGAAGTAATTCCTAATTAACCACCAGTCTGAAATTATGCATGTTGTAAAAAAAATTATTAAATACTTTGCAATGCATACCTTGTCTTTCTTTTTTTAGAAATCTTTTTCAAGAGTCAAGATTCTCTGAAGAAAAAAATATATATGTTAATAAAAATGATTTGACACTCTTAATATATCCTATATTTACATTTGTGCCTGAACAGCAGCTGGATGTTGCTGGAGAAAAATCCACAAGCACACTGACAGTTCTCACTTTGAATTCACAACTGCAAATCTCAAATGAGCCATCAAATTTGTCTGGCCATTTTAGTCACTTCTCTACAATGCTTCGGTGGTGGTGTCCCCACTCCTCAAAATGACTATTACTACTTTATTTCTCCTCTCTCTTCACAGCCCTGGCACACACCCAACCCTGCCCTTCCACCCCTCTCTGTTCTCAGCAGATGAGCTGGCCCCAGTCTACCCTGAGAGAATAGAGGCCCCTCAGATGGACTTCTCCCCTGCTGGCACCCACAGCGGTGGCCCCACCTTCCTCTGCTCCCTGCCCACCGCAGTGCCTGCACACGCAGTCTCCTTCCTCTCTCTCTCACTCCTCCAAGCCAGCTCAATGTTTCCTGCATCCCGAGTTTCTCCCTCTTCGCTGGACCACCCCTGCCATTGTATAAACTGCTCTGGTAACCTCCCACCCTACAAAGAACCCTCTGTTAACACTACATAACCCTCCAACTGCATCATTTTCTGCTCTCATTTACAGCAAGACTTCTGGGATGAGAAAACGACACCAACCCCATGTCCCATTGTCTTTTCAACACTTCTTAATCTGGCTGTTATCCTCACTCACTTAAAACTGCTCCTCTGAGACTCCTCCCTAGAATCCTTGGGGCCAGTTCTAGTGATAGCCTGTTCTCTGTGTATCTTACACTTGGTCTCTCTGCAGCATTTGACAAAGTGAACCACTTCATACTTCTAGAAAACTTTTCCTCTCCTAGCTTCTTGTTTACATCCTGACTCACTGCTTCTTCTCAGTCCTTCTTGGATGGCTCTTCCTCTGTTACCTAACTTTTCTATTTCCTTCTCTGATGCTTACTGTAAGGCTGGAGGCACTGATGGGAGGAACGAGCATGTGGGACACTGATGACGTGCCAAAGTCCCTGGCTGCTGCCCCCTCCCAACCTGAACAATGTGCCTTGGGCTAGCCAATCCTCGCACCGCTGTAAATCTAAGCTCTGCCTCCCCCTACCTTCTTTAAAAACTCGCTGCCTGTCTGCTGACGCGTGGCTTCCTCAGCCTCCATTTCTAGAGACTGGGAAATCTCGCCCGGGTGTCTTGTTCAAATGAACTACCTGGCCCTTTGTTGCCTCTCTTTGCCTGCTTATTTCAGCTAGAATTTATCTTACACTTACTTCTCTGCTGGGGGAGTGCTCCAGCATTCAAGCCTACAGCCATTTGATAGACTATGTGTTTTACTTATTTGTCTCTTTTTGCTGAAATACAATGTCCGAAAGACCAGAGTTTTCCACCCATTTTTAAGATGTTGAAATAATCTCAATCTTTCCCAAATTTGCAAGTACAGTACAAAGGCCTTTCATGTTTTCTGAACAGTTTGAGAGTAAATTACCAGCAAGGTACCCAGTGGCTTTCAATGTATAATTCTTACATAACCTCAAAACGTCACCAAATCAGAACATTAACACTGATGCATTACTACTGCCTAGTCCTATGATCCCCTTCAATTTCATCAGTTGTCTCCATAAGTCCTTCATGATAAAAGATCTAATGCAGAATCATGTGTTGTATTTGGTTGTCATGTTTTATTATTTTTTTTTTTAGTTTCCTTCAGTCTTGATCATTTCTTCAGTTTTTTTCCCCCGATTTTATGACTTTAACACTTATGAAGGCTGCAGACCAGTCACATTGTAAAATGTCCTTAGGTTTTCCTGATGTGCCCTTGATTAGATGAGGTTACGTATCTTTGGCAGAAATACCACAGAAGTGGCGCCGAGCTCCTCTCACTGCACCCTCCGGGGTGGTGGGCGGTTCAACATGTTCTGTCACTGATGATGTTCACTTTGAGCATTTTCTTAGAGCAATGTCTGCAAGTCGTTTTCCTGTGAAGTATTTGGGAGGGGTAAGGTACTTTGAGACTACTCCTCATCAAAATTTCAGTTTGTACAATATATTATATCACTATGGACATATGGCTTCCTATTTTATTCATATTACATTGAGTTATAACCCATTACTATCATTTATTTTGATGTTCACATTGTCCCTGATTTGACCAGTAGAACCTCTGCAAGCTAGCTTCTGTGTCACTGTGACATTTTGACAGCATTCTTTGAGCGCTTTCGTATTTTCTGTCACAAAATATTCTAAGACTCCTTGTGTTCTCCCCCTGTTCAAAGCCTGGAATCAGCTATTTGTCCAAAGAGCCCTACTCCTCATAATGGATATTATCCACTATGGTATTTAAAAAACAAGATCTGTGGACTAGAGTGTCACTGTTCCTAAGCACCATCAATAGACAGAGGTAGGGGATACATGTACTTACCCATATTTATTTCTGTGTCTATTTATATTGAATTCACATCAATATTTCTAATTCCAATCCTACCCTAGAGTGTTCATTTTAGCTTTTCTTTTTCCATGTTGTTAACTCCCTTCTGTGATGGTGAGAAACCTGGCACCCATTGTCCTTAATAACCTTAAAGTGGATTCTTAGTACATGTATGCATTTGATGAAGTTGGCTGTATGTAACAATCTCCCAATATTGCCACACCATGGAATAGATGCTCTCCACTCAGGCTCTGATATCCCTTACTGCGCTACCCCTTCTCCCACATCTGGACACCCTCTTTCCTGTGCTTCCTCTCTGACACACCATGCCAGAACCCTGTCCTGATAGGAAGGAGGGCAGAAAGTTTTTACTCTTGTTTGCACCCATATTCCTAACACCTAGGACAATGTCTGGAACATCATGCTCAGTAAGTAACAACTGATTGAATGAACCTATTTCTGATTATTTAGTATATTCCCCCATGATGAGCATTCTAAGATTTTTCTTACTTTTCAAGCCCCTATGATTCCAGTACAGCAGCTTCTGTGTTCCAAGGGTCGGGTCTCAAGTCTACAAAAGTTTAGTGCAGAGACTCGCCATGGGAGGGCAGCAGTGAGCCCCAAAATAGGTGCAGCCTTAAGTTCCAAGATTCTGGCACCACTCCGATAAGAATATATGCAGAAAAATCATGGGTTTATTCATATTAGGATATTCAGAGGTGTACAAAGAATGACTCGAAGTAGGGGAGAGAAACTTCAAGAGTGACAGTTCAGATGCAGAGATGAGATATATTCAAGAAGCACCTGGATAGCCCAACAACATAGGCTGACTGAAGAAACAGCCAGTGATTAGCAAAAATTGGCTAACAGGGAAAGCAATGTTTGTTAATGATTTTGTTTAATATTTTTTATAAATATCATGCTTTCCTATACCTTTTATTTTGGTACAGTCAAGTTCCCAAACCAAATTTCTGCTCTTATACAGGGAATGGATTAAAATATCAATGTTTAATCATTTTTAAAAGAAACTCAATTCCTGTTGCTTAGTGTCACTCCAGGATATTATTTGAAATGCACAGTGATATTCCAAATGATACTGAGCTCTTCAGGTAGCTCATTATTATTAGTATTATTATAAGCCCTGGGTATATTTCTTGCACTTCTATTTTGTGGACTCATTTAAAAAATATTTTCTTGAAGTTGCTAAAGGGATATAACTTCATTCATAGATAGAATATTTTTCAGTAAAATCATGTCTATTATGCAAATTATTTTTTAGTCATTATAACTTTTAATAAGGTTATAAATTCTCAGTGTTTACAGATTCAGATTCTACAAGGTGTGTTATGAAAGACATACCTCCCCATTTCTCCCCCTTCACAGGAAACCGCTTTCTACTCTTTCAGCTTAATATTAACATTTTAATTTTACTTCCATGCTTTTAAGTATTTGGTTTATATTGTTCCTTGATTTTTCCTCATTAGGGTATTGATATCCCCCTATGGAAGTTAAGAATTAGGCATTATTTCCTCTTCCCCCATGTCCATTACACATGGCACCCTTCCTCAAAGCCATTCTTCCAATGTAATCATATTATTTTTTGTTAGATATTCAGTATTTACATAGTGTTGCTCCTGGAGGAGGGCTTCCCCTCTTGTGGAAGTTCACTATGAATTTAGAGTGATAATGACAAAGAACATTGTAGGTAAAAAGAGGCTTATACCAAGCTTCATGCTCACGGCATTCACCCAGCTATGTACAAGCAACAAGCCCATTTCCTTCGCTGACCTGGCTACAGCCTCTGGTCCCCAGGCACTGCCGTGCTGCTGGCTCTGTCTCCTCTCCCTCCTGCCCCCCCAGCTCTGGGCTCAAGGGCTTCCCTCTGCCATCCTCCTTTTCTGCCCCTCTTTAACACTCAGCAGAACTCTGTGGGTGGGTCTTGACGGTGACCCATGGAAGCCTGGCCAATTATGGCCAGTTGCTTGTTTGTTTCCTCTCCACCCCTCCCCTGGCCCATACTTCCATGACTGAGTTTGCTCTGGGTGGAGCTCTATGGGCTGTGAACAGCTTTCTGTCAACAGGTACGCAAGCAGGCTAAGTATTACATCATCACGTGTATACAATGGATGATATTAGAATCAGGTGAGAATACTGGACATAAAATTTCCATTTCCCCTACACATAGACATAAATACAGTAACTTCTCTTATATAAGATCTTAATTTTTCTTCCAGCTAACTGCATGATTCTTAAATATGTTTAGTTTTCTGTGTATCTGTCGTTAGTTCAACTCCAAAATTCTCAGTCTGATATTAAAATCTCTCAAGCCTTCAGATGCAGCTATAATTGTGTCAATGTCATCTTTCTACAGCAGTAATTCATGAGGATTTCTCACCACCACTATATCTAACTGGGACTGGTTGTTGTCTATGCCTACTACATAGCTATCTTACTGGGCTCTTTCTTTCAGCGTCATTTTGGGATCTTTTCATTTCTCTCCACCTATATTTATTGTATT